CAACCTGTATTTTTTGTAAATTATTAAATATTTTTCAGAAATTTTTAACATTTCGACTGCCAGTTCGGTTTCTATTTTTTTTCCTTAAATTGCACAATATTATAGTTTCTTTTTAAATAATTCAACACATTTAATATAACTTCTACTCAAAATCTGGTAATTTTTTGTCTCGCATAAAGTGCATAACACAGAAAGAGTAAAAGTTTTACCTGGGTTATTTCCACCACTATACGAAAAAGTCTCTGAAAACTTCAAAAAATGGTTATAATAGAAGAAAATGACGATAAATAAAAAAACCCAACGAAAAGTTTCTTTTCTAAATATTTTTCGAAAATATGTAGGTACAGCTAAGACACTAAGAGACAAACTCTCGTCCATTTTTCCATGCACTCAGTTTGTCAAGAAAACTGTGTAAATCAACTTGTGTAGAACAAATACCTCAAAAAGTGGCGAATATTTTTTTTGTTGGCAATATATTGGAGTTGACGTTATATAAATTATTATTGCAAGGACAAACATAAAGGGCGGGTGGGCGGGGCTAGCACTTCTAAGATAGACTAATTTTGGCAGATGACACATCCTTTAAGAAAATAAAGGGCGGGTGGGCGGGGCTAACTCGTTAATGTCACTGAGAAGCTGAATTATTAATAAGAGAATTTTTTATTGTCTAAAAAGGGTGAATCCTGAAAATGTTCGTAATTATCTGCTGAAATTTGGGAGACTCTAGCAATTGAAACGTGCTTTTTTAAAGCCTAGAAATTTTTCCAAACAACTTCGCTGAGACTCTTTCCTGCAAACTTCCATGAGAATAAAGCTGAAAAAAGAAGTTTAAAATGCGAGCGCAGCGAGCACGTTCAGGTGTAAATTAAAAAATTATTAGTTGGTGTCCCTGAGAAGCTAAATTATTAACAACGATTTTGTTGTTAGTTAAAAATGTGAGTTTAAAGACTGTTTAGAAATCCAGAATTTAATGTGAAAATTTAACACATTTTTGGAGGAAACAAAAACAACAGCACGGAACATGAGAATTTCAAAGAAGTTTCTCAGAAATGATGAAGTATTACCAGAGCCGATAAAGAAATTTATAGATACAACGTTTTTAGTGTTACGATTGATAGGAACATTATTGTGGAAATAGAAGAGATTCAATAATATACCTGTAAGTAGCTACAATCATTTCCAATTTCAAATCGTTCACTGATATAAAAACTTTAGAGAGACGCGAATCAGAAAATCACTCAAGAATTCTGTAAACTTCATTTTTTGAGTTACGTAATTATGGACACAATTTTTCCTGTTTAAAACCAGCTTAGAAGTGTCAAGTAGAATGATTAATTTTCCATAAAATGTCAGTAAGGTCAGTTAGTAAGTATTTTGAAATGTGCAAAAAATAATTGCACATTGCGTTAGTTTTTATACTAGTCTTCTTTTTTTGCTTTATAAAATTAATCATCAATTGTGTGTGATGAACAAATAAAATCCATTGCTATTTTAAATATCAACAAAAAAATTTCAAAAAATTTCAACTAGGTATTTTAAAGATTATCGTTTTGTATTTCATAATAAACATCCGACTACTGTTGATATTAGTTGAATATGTATTGAAATACTATCACCCTTTGAACACGAACAAAGCTATTTAATATCTTCTTTTGATTCAACAATAGCATTCGACATGGGTCTCATGACATATTATTGCATAAATTACTGTATTATCTTCATTCAGAAAGCAGTGTTAGCTTATCGAGTCATATTTATGTGATCGACAATTAGTGGTTATTAATAATATGCATTCAGATTCGGTCCTGGAACCATTTCATTCTATAATTAAATTTTCTAAAAACAAAACAAGACTTGCAATTACACAGGCCACTGTTTCAGGAGAACGTCTGCGTCAAAAAAGTTTCAGTGTTTTATTCAATAATTGTCAACAACGCTAAAGAATCGACGAACGACATTTCTTTCACATTTTTATCCAAAAATACTAATGCCTCTTTGTTTTGTGGGTTGAGTTCGCATCGAGAGTACTTCGCCTTTGTCATCGATGCGAGAGCCCCACAAATTTTTTCACCGTAGACGCAACAAACAGTTTTGAACACTACAACATCACACAATATTTCCGACATAATATTTTCAATCTGCCCAATTTATTACAATATGATGGTGTGGTTAGCGGTTAAAGTTTTTTATCGTTGTGTTGGTAAACAATTTGGGTTGGTCCGTTACAAAAGATAAATGCTGTAATTTTCCTTTTTTACTATGTACTGTTATGAAATATGGATTAGGTGCCCAATTTTCACAAGCCACAAAAAAAAATAATCCAGATTTAAATAACCCCAGTCTTCAAATTAACTCGTTTGCGCGATTTGTTGCAACCCAGACCGATTAATATCACTTAACACAACAAATAAATCACGTTCGACATTATGTACACCGTGTTAACAATCAGATTTATGATTGCATATCTGATATAAAATATGCGTACTACAAACACTTTTACTTTTGAATTTACATAATCGGGTAATTTACGATTGCGCTAATTAATTATACTAATTTATGCCACGTACATCGTCGTAATTTATTAATTCTTGACAACGTGTAAACATCGTCGGAATAATAGGTGTCGATTCGAAAACCGATAGTAACGACGCTAAACAACACATAAGTTAGACTTACCTGGGCGAGAGTCTTTTTTATGGGTTAATTGGTGGAGAGATAATTTAGGATGTGTTAATGGTTATCCGTGACTCGAATTTTTGAGCTAGCGTGACGACGCGATCAGATTAAGAGGCATTGTTTTACTAATAAGGCCAATTCTGACATTATTTAATTTAGTAAATTAGTATCTTTAGTTTGTGCAAGCAGTTAGTGAAATGAAACAATTTAGATAACGCGCACGATAACGCCCGTTTAATGCTAATTATAGCCGGACAGGTACTTAAAAAATAATGAAGTGTGGTCAAAAAGTCGGTACCTATTGCAAATTATTGCTAAACACCGAATTAACAAGTTCTGTAACCGTTAAACTCGATGTTGTATGTATTACATATGGAACAAATGAATTATTAACAGTTATAAATATTTTTTGTATTTTAGACTTTAGTGTTGTTTGATGTGTTGTGCAAACGTATCTGTGATAACCACCAGTTGCACATATTAAAATGTGCAAAGAATTACTATATACTTGGGTGTGTATAAATTATATACTTCCACTTTGTAAATTACAACTCGACACATGGAACTGTCACGGTTGACAGATTGCTTGAATTTCAGCGTAAACTTTATAATCTGAAATTTATTGTTTGACAAGATTTTTTTAAATATCAAAATTCGAATTTTAGGACATATAATCCCGTCCTTGGAATGTGATGGGTCCCTTTGGGGACAGACATATTGATAACTAGTTTATATATATAAAGCAATAAACACTTCACGGGTTGCAGATTTATGACATTCAGGGTAGTTTGCCTGGAGAAATTAGGGGTTCTACGAATAAGGTTGTAAACTGTAGTTTCACAAGTTTTGGTTGGCTATTTTACAATCAGAAAATATTTCCCGTATCAACGCATGATTTTGATTATGTTGGAAATGTTTTAATATGTTTATATAATTTTTTATTGTAAAATTCTCAGTAATAAAAAAATCTGTTTTACTGAAAATTTCGAAAATTTTCATATTTTTAAATTTTAATTACCTAAACCAGGTTTTTCATTACTGAAAATTTTGAAATTGATATTTGGCGAAGTAATATTTAATAATTCAATAATAACGAAAAAAATCTCGCGTGTTGAAAATTTCAATACACTTTTTGTGCAAGTAACAAAGAACGATTTTTTTGGTGTAAATTTAAAAACACTAGTACAGTAAGAGTTACATTGTTCGAATTTGTACTATTTGATTATATTACAGTTAAAAAACTAAGACAAAATTTTATATAGTTTTTGAAATATGACATGATAAAAACCAAAAAACGCAATTTTAAATATCAAAATTCAAGAAATCGATTTACTATGAAATTTTAATATATAAAAGTCGAATTTTAACAAACGAATAGAAGCGACATAAAAAAACTTGAGCTAACTTTTGTAAGATTCGTATGTCAACTTCTTCAGAAATCCGTCGCTTATTCCCGCATATAAAAGTACACTATTATTTTAATTTTTTAGACGCTCTTATATAAAATAGTACACAGTGTTTACATTAGTATCTGAACAAACACACTATGGGTAATTATTATTTATTTTACTGGTAATAATATATTTCATCAAGTACTCAACCCGTTATTGTCGAATTTTTTTACTAATATTTATGATTCTAAAACAAACAAGAGAAAATTTAAGACTTGAACTGGCACAAACAAATATATAATCACGAACCCACAATCTTTTTTTATTTAAATTTCAAGTTTTGTAACATCGGAAATAAACATAATAAAGAATGCAATAAAACAATCAAATTGGTGTGTAATGGTGCACGAAATACTACTTAGCGCACAAAAAATAATGGTAAAAATACTGGGTTTTTTAACAACTGAATAAATTTTAGCGGGTGTCAATTTTCGTACTTCTCAGTTTATAAACACTGGCGCTGAAAATAAATATTCGTGTTTGTTTTGCTGCTAAAATTCTGTTTAGTTTACTGCTGCTGTCGATTGTCGGTGTTAATATATTTTTTTAGTGAGCGCCAAAATACACAGAGGGATCAGTTTTTCGTCGCTAGTTATGTCAGTAAACAATTTGCTCGTGACAAGCGATAATACCACAAGTTCCCCTTTTTATTACGTACTTTAAAACTGCCGTAAATTCGCGCATGAAATTTTTGCTGATCGCGTAATTAATGTCTTGTTGTGAAAAATGATAAAATTAGACTTACCTGTAGAGAAATAATTCGCGTTAGTCAAATCTGACCGACGCGGTGGTCGATTATTTAGTTTGGTTTGTGCATGCAATGATGATTTAGACGTCGCGTCGTGCACGAACAGTCCAATAAAACACTCGGAAACTTGTCAATCTCATATATTCACATTTCGTTCCATTGACTAATCATTGTAAACACACTGTACATTCAAAAAGTAACTTAAAATTAGTATGTACAAAGCATCTGTGATATTCCGGAAAGTCCGTCGTCAACCCCACACATCACAATAATAAAATTTTTTCGAATGAACAAACAATTCTGCGCGCCGGAACAAAACGAACAGGAGAACTCAACGACTGAACAAAAAGGTAGTCTTAAAGGGGGAAAAAGTTTCACCGAGTGTATAAACAAAGCTAAGTAGACACTGGGATCGTCGTTGGAAAAGTGGGCCCTATTTACAAAATTTTTGGTAGTGAACCATCGTCAATCCGTCGCGCGAGCGACCTCAACAAGACCTATATTACAAAACGCGTCATAGTGACTATTTACACGATGATATAGTGAACTAAACCACGTCAGCGCCGCCGCTTTCATTTTGCGAGAGTGGGCGCCCGGCCAAAAACAAGGAAAATTTGTACTTGTGTACCACTTACTTGGCAAAATGAAACGGGTGCGCTCCTTACATTAACAATACTGATTCAAGGAACCAAGTCTATGCATATGTACACTTCACAGCGGTGGCACGTCCAGCATCTCGGGCGGCCCGAACAGTGGCTCTCACATGTGCGCTAAGGGCGCCAAGGGCCCGGGGCCCAGCGGGTCCGGCGAGGCACTGTATTGCTGCATGTGCTGCGCCCCGTCCGTCGGCAGGTACATGGAGATCATTTGGCGCAAGTCGCCCTGTTGCTGCTGCTGGTACTCCCTCTTGATGCCCCCCGGCGTCGGCGTGTGCAGGCCCGAGCTGGGCGACACCGGCTCCGATTTTATGCTACTCCCGGATGGGCTGTGCGAGGAGGTCTGCTGCATCCCGTAGGGCGAGCCGGCGCTATTGGGAACGGTGGCCCCGTACGCGTATCCCCCGTTCATGTACTGCATCTGGGACATGTCGTAGCGGGCGTAGTTCGCGCCCCCGTACTGCTGCTGATAGGGTACGTTGGGATCGTGCATCATGTAGCCGTTCGGCATGTACCCGTTCGGCATCTGGTACATGTCCCGGTTGCCCTGCTGGACCACGGCGGGCGCGCTCCGCGCCGCGTCCGCCGACGGCAGCAGCCCGCCGCCCCCCAGCGGGTACTTGTCCTTCTTCAGCAGCGTCTTGGTCTTCCGCCGCGGCCGGTACTTGTAGTCCGGGTGCTCCTTCATGTGGACCGCTCGCAGCCGCTTCGCCTCGTCGATGAAGGGCCGCTTTTCTGCTTCGCTGAGGAGCTTCCACTCCGCCCCCAGCCGTTTCGAAATCTCCGAGTTGTGCATCTTCGGGTTCTCCTGGGCCATCTTCCTCCGCTGGCCGCGCGACCACACCATGAACGCGTTCATGGGCCTCTTCACGCGCTCCATGTTCGAGTTCTTGTTGTTATTGTTGTTGTTGGTTTGCGGCGCCGACGTCGGCGGCGGCGCGTGGCTCTGCTGATGGTGGTGGTGCATCTGGGGTGCCTGAGGGTGCATCTGGTGCGGGTGCTGGAGCGAGTGCATGGGCGCCAGCCCGCCGTACGACTGGAGGCCGTGGTGAGGCGGCATCGTCGCGTGCAAACTGCCCCCTTTGAGGTCCGTTTCCATCGTCAGCATGTCTTCCGTCGGCGCGAACAGTTTGCTGGTTTTCTCTCTCACTGCACACACGCGAACACGTAACCTCCTCACGGGCCGGAGTGCCTCTACGTTATGACGGACTCCGAGCGTATCGGGTGCCGTTCCCCCGGAATCTCGTCCCCTCCACTGCCGTGATTGACAGCAACGCCTGCCATGTTTGCGCGCGGCCAATCGCGGCGCACGGACACGCCTCCGGGGTCCCCTCCAACGCTAATTACGCCCGATTGCTAATTACGCCCGACGGCTATTTTTGCTGCAGCGTACGCGCCGATAATTAATTAATAACCGATTCGGACGAAATCCCTAATTAATGCGCAAGCGGGAGTTTGTTTAAATACTTATTTACGGACGGGGTTCGCGCACTTTTTTCGACGGTAGCCGCAAATTGAGCGTTACCTGCGCGGAGACGGGCGCCGCGGGGGGCGACAGCCGACCATTGTCTCCGGTATTTATGTATCGGGAGATAATATCTCGAGTAATTGTTCCTGTAATTGGCTCGAACCCTTCGGCCTTTGCCGCGATTATCGGCGCGGATATCTCCGGAAACGAAAAAAACGGAACGACGGCGACCACGGAGACGCGGATTTGCATCGCGAGGAAAACCTGAATAAAGAATTAATTAATCTGCGTGTCACAGTCACGGAACGGGACATAAATAAGACGGACGTGCTGCGGCATACGCGTGCCGGATGAGCGCAAAACAAATTCTGATTAAATGTTGATAAATATTTAATTACCGGAGGTTTATTGCACGCACTGTGGAAAATACGCGCTCACAGCCGCATCGACTCTTGCTTTACAAAACGACCTGGTTTTGGGTCATTCAATCATACACGGGAAAATTCAAACTCGATATTAAAATATTAGCGGTTTCGTCATCCTTTTTAGAAAAATAAACCAATTGTAGTGTGAATAATATCTTCTGAGATAGGGTACAACAAGTAAAGGGACCGTCTCTCATTACAATGTAACAATCGACCAAAAACTGCCAGGTTGTCCCACATCGAAATCCTTGCACCGGAACTATAAATTACGCTACATTTCTGAAATCAATACCTCGAGATCCATATCCTAGAATATTTTTGGGGTTTTTGAAACAACCGCTTCAATACTTCCCCGTTATTATGAAATTTTCGGTCTTATTTCGTCCACCTTCGAAAATTAGCTAAAGACATTTTTTGTACATTTCGACCTTCAGAAGTTATTTTCGGCTTCATTTCTTCGAAAATCCCTACCATTTTTCCAGAATCGCTCACATGAAATATGGCATTTGTTTGGGGTCTTAAAAAAATTGACTTGCGAACCAAATATTTCGAAAATCTTCTGTAGGAACAACAAATATGCTATATTTTTAGAATCAACACGTCAAGACCTTTATCCTAGAAATTTTTGTGAATTCTTAGGCAACCTTTTCAAAAGCTCAGCTTTTCAAAAATGGGCTCCTCACGAAATTTTTGATTTTTTGGCCACTCCCGAATATTATCCAAAGTGGTGTTTTTGTAAATTTCGACCTCCAGAAGTTATTTTCGGCTTCATTTCTTCAAAAGTTCCTACAATTTCTCAAGAATCGCCCATGTAAAATATGACACTTTCTAGAATTAAAAGAAAATGATTTTCACTCCGAAAATTTCGAAAATCTTGCTTCATCAGGAGCATAAAGACGCTGTATTTTTGGAATCAGCACCTCGGGATCTATATCTCAGAATTTTTTGTGGATTTTCGAGCAACTTTTCAAAAGTTCAGTTTTTCAGTAATGGGCCCCTCACGAAATTTTTGATATTTTGTCCACTTTCGAAAATGATCTAAAGATATGTTTTTGTGGATTTCGATCCAGCAGTGGCTTGATTTCTTCAAAAGTTCCTACAATTTCTTAAGAATCGCCAATTTAACATATGGCTCTTTCTAGGATTAAAAATAGATAGTTTCAAGCCGAATATTGCAAAAATCTTGCTTTGGGACCCTAAACACGCTATGAATTTTTCCATAAGCTCAATTCTTCAATACCCCTCAGAAAACTTATTTCTATTTTGCTCACTTTCAAAAATTATCTACAGTATTTTTTTTGTAGATTTCGACTTCCAGAATTGATTTTCGGATTAATTTCTTGGAAAATTCCTACCGTTTTTCTAGAATTGCCAATACGAAATATGGTAACTTCTCAGTAGGGATCTTTGTGCTTTGTTTTCAAAGAATTTGCAAAATCTTTAAAAACCCCACTGATTTCATTTTGACAAAAATTTAAAAAATCTCGGGGTAGCCAGAGACTCGGTTGTATCGTTTTTGAAAAAAAAAATAGAAGGATCTTGAAGTTCTTAATGTCTTTTTTCAAGAATTTCAAAGAATTGTGGGACCCTTGGTATTTTTGTTTTAAAAGAATTCGAAAAAATCTGTAGTCTTCTTGTTTTATTGTTCAACGAGAATTTGGAGACATGTGATGTTTTATTTTTGAAGCAATTTCAAAGAGTCTAAGCTAAAGAAGTTTTGTAATTGACTCCATCGGGGACTCGCTACTTCTGTGTTTTCTCGACGTTTCATGACCCCTAGAATACGAAAACATAGGTCTCTTGTTTCCGTCTGTTTGTCTGCTGTCTGCCCACCAACAATGATATGACGTCATATCCTACTTTTACAATAGAAAATGTTATTAAAATTTTATAAAATAACACTCATTCACTTGTAATTTATGAATCATTGTTGAGTTTTTTACACTAGGCATCCAGATTTTTGTAAAAAAAAAAATTTTAAATCGTTATCAGAACTATGATAAATCGTTATTCAGAACTTATCCCTAAAAACTGATGACGTCATCTGAAAATATTGCCAAATAATATCTAAAATGTACAAATTATGATGAGTCTAAACTTGTGATTTATTATTCCATTAATATTTTTTCGATTTGCTTATACAAGGTAACTAAAAAAAATAAGGGGTGAGTCAACCCCCCTTTAAAACATGACAATGTTTAGGGTTAAAAAAAATTTTTCAAATCGAATATTTCGAAAATCTTGCTCCGCACCTCGAAATCCATATCCTAGAATAAAGTTGTGGATTCTTTGGCAGCTTTTTCAAAAGCTCAATTTTTCAATATTTTAAGAATTTTCGATGTTATTTCGTCCGTATTCGAAAATTACCTAAACAATTTTTTTTTGTACATTTCGACGTCCAAAAGTCATTTTCGGCTTCATTTCCTCGAAAATTCCTACCATTTTTCCATAATCATCCACATGCAATATGGCAGGTTTAGGATTTTTGAAAAACATTGATTTTCAAACCGAATATTTCGAAACTCTTGTTCCGGGACCATAAATACGCTATATTTTTCAGGAGGGGCCTTATGTCTCAGAATTTTTATTTGATTTTTAGTCAACTTTTTAAAAAGCTGAATTTTTCAATACGTACGAACATTTTGATTTTTTTTGTCCACCTTCAAAAAATTCCAAAAGAGATGGTTTTGGGTCATTCAATCATACACGGGAAAATTCAAACTCGATGTTAAAATATTAGCGGTTTCGTCATCCTTTTTAGAAAAATAAACCAATTGTAGTGTCAATAATATCTTCTGAGATAGGGTACAACAAGTAAAGGGACCGTCTCTCATTACAATATAACAATCGACCAAAAGCTGCCGGGTTGTCCCACATTATGTTAAGTATACAAGAGCATTCAAAATTTTGTTTATGGCATACGCGCTCTCCACAACTTCTGCCGGATATTTGGATTGAAACGTCATTAGTAGGTAACATTATAAATTCTAGTGTGTCGTCCAATTATAAACCAAATTTTTTTGGAACATTAAAATGATCACAGTCAAATTAAATGCTGGGATGTAAATTGATTGATCAAAATAATGTTAAAAGATTTATTTGTTAATACATCATTATCACTAGGTACTAATGTGAGCATAAGACTTGCAATAAACACTCTGGAAATACTTATTGAACGCATTTACACAAAAGCATTTTACATTATGTTAAAGGTATTAGTAATTTGTCGCTTTCAATGTTTCAATCTATGGAGTTCATTAACTTAGAACGGAGCAGAACTAATTTTCAGTAAAAAATTAAAAAAAATATCAAAATTAATTGGTTGCATAACTTCAGCTGATGTTTTAGAAGGTTAAGGTGAAATGTAACAATTCAAGTGTGTACCTACTCTTATTGTTGTGAAATTTAGTTTTTTGGTAAAAATTCTTGACGGAAATTCAAATTTGCCTGTGTTGTATGCGTTGTAGCGCTATGTAGCTAAAAAAAAGGCGTGATTTAGTTCATCTGGATGAAGTTGTTCGACGAACGTCATTACTAATTGTTTATTAACATTATCCACAATGGACGAATTCAAAAAATGTGTTAGTTAATCACATTATTGTCTTAGTTGAACGCCGTACTTTTCAAGCCCGTAGGAATCAGGAAACGCGAATCTCGCAATCCCATCTGTTAATTCGAAAACCCATTCCCACGTGGTGTTCCAGCCAGCCTCCGCAGAAAAATCCGCGCCTTAACGATGTCCAGCAACAAGATTTCCTCGGAGTAATTGCAAATGCGCTTCTCTGAAGCGAAATCCATTAAATCCCGGCCTTTGCCTCGACCAGCACTAAAGACAACGACGTCCCAGGTGTCTAAGCCGTACTTTATTTTTCTCGGAAACGGCGCTAAAGGTGGTAGTTTCACTTTTCTCCTCCGACCATAAATCTAGCAGTGCGGTGACGCTGCATTTCTGTTGTGTTTATGGCAACCTTGTCACTCGAGAAGATGGCCGGAAGGAGCAAAATTATCGACCGTCGATTTTTTCGGCGAGTTAATTAAGTGTAACATCGCCAGAGTGGAAACTGTCCGCTCTGTGCGGAGTCTAATTAGGAGTTTCTCGGAGGCGGCGTCGCCGCCACGGTCACGCCGGCTGCTTATCTGAGATGCGGAGAATTGGAGGAGACGGTGGGTTATTGTCCGAGTTGGGAGTTGGAGTTACGAAATTGCTTACTAATCGCTGGAGTTGCGAAATGTGGAGGGCTGTTGTGTTTGGGGAAAGTTTTGTTTTATGAATGATGACTATTTTTAGCGGGTTTATATAAAA